TTCCCAGGTGATTCTAATGTGCAGCCAAGGTTGAGAACCACTGAGCTAGAGCATAGCGCTACCTTGCTCCCTGCTTTCCTCCGATGCTTAAGAATTTCTGACCCACTTTACGTGGCTATGGCCTTCCAAGCCTCCCCAACCCAAATCTCAGCTCCTGCCTGAGGATGCAGCAGACCTGATTCCTGCCTGCCAGAGCGAGTGTGGAGCCAGGAGGGTCCAGCCAAAGGCTCAACCTACCAGTCTCCTTCTAGGTACTTAGTGAGCCCTGGGGGTGAAAAGCAGTCAATCCAAGGAAATTGGGAGTTTCAGCATTTCCCTTGGTTGATTATTAGGGAGCAGTTGGAACTCTTTTTACAGGCAACACACAGATATTCCTCTCTCTCTCTCTCTCTCTCTCTCTCTCTCTCTCCCTCTCTCTCTCTCTCTCTCTCTCCCTCTCTCTCTTTTTCTTCTTGAATTCACAAAACTCACCATTTCTGATGCCACCACAGCAGAACAAAGAGGCAATGCATTTTCGGAAGGAAATGACTCCTGCTTTCAATCTCCCCACCCACTTTAAAATTCAAAGGAATGCCTGGCAATGTGGGATTCATGAAGAATTGGGACTCAACATACCTGTGTTCCAAATTAGCTCTTTTTTCCTTGTCTCATCTCTGGGGTCATCCTCTTTAGTCTGAGTTTCCTGGTTGGCTATGGAGGTGGAAGGAGAAGAGGGGTTCCCAGATAAGGCAGCAGACTCCCCAGTGGTGGCAGGTTAAAGGACAGTGGCGGTGCCAAGTGGCTGTACTCACTTATCTCAACCTGTTTAGGCCTGGACCCAGGGTGAGTGGTCTTGTAGCACAAACTGGACATAAATTGACTGTGGTTGGAATGGGAATATTTCAGTGCCATCCCAAAAGCTGCTTGTCAGTCTGCCCTGCTTTTGGTGAGTCATTCTTTGAAGAAGAATGGCTCATTAATATTATAGTGAAAGCAAAGGGCCATTAGATTGAGGAATTATTTGCAATCACGATAACCCTGAGTCATTTAAAAAAATGTAACTTATGCCTGGACAAGTTCCTTCTCCTTTCTAGACCTCAGTTTCTCTATCTGTAAAATAAATGGAAGAAATAAATGCCGCTAATGTCCTGTACATTATGTGCCCAAAGTATATTCGTTCGTCTTCACAAACGATACATTAAATATTTATTGTAGCTGGTGCTGTGTGCTTTTAAATGGAGGTGGTGACAATCGCCCACCTCCCACGTATCCGGTAGAGCCATTTTAACAAATTTTAATTTGTATCTTTACACCAAAATTGTGCCCATAGTCATTATTTAAATGTGTAAGGAGAGAAATCTTTTCAACAAGCATGTAATTGGATGCGGTGCTGGGTGCCAGATGCCAGGTAGTCAATAAGTATGAATATTAAGAAGTGTCCTAGCCATGTTTTCCGCTGGCTTTCATCTGCTGCCACCTTCCCCAACATTTGGTTATGTTTGAAAAAGAGTAGGATGTTTTATACAAAAAGAGTCAGGCACCACACTTCTTCTTTGACATGGTGTACTCCGCTTTAAAATCCCCCCTCAGATTTTATCTGCTTGCCGGAGCACCAGAGCATTGGTACAAATGCTGGATCTCCCTAAACAGCCCTGCTGAATTGTCCTGCCCAGCTTTCCCCCAAGTCTCTGACAAGCACTCAGTGGCCCCACGGTGCATCTTCTTGAAATGTGCTCTAGTCAAATACATTTCTTCAGTTTGCAGAAAGTAGGGCCCCATGTCCTCATCCTCTTTACCTGCTGTGGCTGGTATGGGCCCCATCCTCCAATGACCTCTCCAGCTCAGCTCTGCTCTTCTGCCCCTGGCCCGGCATCCTCTCTCCAGACTCAATGGTGAGGCAGATCTTTAGTGCCTGAAGGACATCTAACCAACTGCTTCCTCCTCTAAGGTAGAGTCAACAGTGAAAGAATCCTGCTAACACCTTCTCTGACCACCACAGAAAAAGCACAGTCTGGACAGTCATTCAGATACAGATTCAGCTGGATCAGAACTTGGGGAGGTTTCCAAAGTGGATATTTTGGCCACAACTACCACACTTGGATGAACCCAAACCAGTAGGAAGTTATGTCAGTTCTTCTTCCCGTCACTCTAACCCAGTGATGGCGAACCTTTTGAGCTCGGCGTGTCAGCATTTTGAAAAACCCTAACTTAACTCTGGTGCCGTGTCACATATAGA